TCCTTCCCTGCTTTCTCCCTCCCTCCCTCCCTTCTGGGTTGCTTGTGATGCTGTCTCAAGCAACCCAGGCTGGCCTCAACTGCACTATGTAGTCAAGGATGACCTTTTGTTCCTGATCCTTCTGCCTCTACCTCCCCAGTGTTGAGATGACAGACATGCGTGACTACACCAGTGCTGTGTAATGCTGGCGGTGGAGCCCAGAGCTTTGGCCATGCCAGACAAGAGCTCTACCCACTGAGCTACCCTCGAAGATAACCAAATGGTCTCTGGGTCACAGAGGTGGGGAGCCATGTGATAGGAAATGGTCATGCTGTCATGACACCCTTGGTTTTCTGGCCTTCTGTGCCTCCACATACACACACATAGCTCCTCTCCTAGTCACACCTCCGTCTATCCTGGCCACCCTGAGTCACCTTCAGGAGCCAAACCCTTGCTCAGAATTTTCATGGCACGGGGAATGGGACACATGAGGGTTCACCAGCTCATCCAATTCACACACTCCATTGAAAGCTCGTTGTGTGCCAGGCACTGTGCTGGGGCTGGAAAGCAGTTGGGGGCACCAAGAGACCCAGAGTCTATAACTGGGGCTGGAGAGAGGGGGTGGCCTGGGAACTGGGGTGCAATCAAAGAGTAGTCATTAAGAGGGAAATTACTGCCCATTATTGACCATGAGTGAAGTTGGGCTCAGAGAGGTTGAGCAACTTGCTCAAGCTCACACAGCAAGAAGGTTTCAGAGGAGCTGAAACTGGAAACAAGTTCAGGACTGGGGCTACCTTCCGGATGGATTCTGCTCATTAAGCAGAGCTGCCCATGTGGGGAGGGCACTAAATCCATTTGTAGTGGCAACCTGGGAGGATTAGCGCGCAGGGCATGGGTCACCTAGGGGCCCTCCTGTGGCCTGGGTCTTGGATCCTGGCTATCCAGCACAACCCAGTTTTGGGTTCAAGCGGTTTGGGATTATGATTTGTAGGCCGGCAGGTGGGGGAGTGAAATGTAAGCGCTGACAGTGACTGTTACACCCTTTTATGGCTGAGGCCACAGGGGCTGGTGGGGGAGGATGCTGCTGCCCTGGGCCTGAACCTAGGCTGGGAGGCTGCTCATTAGAGAAAAGCCAGGGGCCTGAGTCCTTTCCCTGCTCAGGCCATGCCTCCTCTAGCTTTGTCAGCCATAGGGACCCCTTTACCCTGTTTCTCTGGTCTTTCTTTAGTCCTAAAGAGTGTGTGTGTGTGTGTGTGTGTGTGTGTGTGTGTGTGTGTTTTTTAAACCACAATAACTGGTATAATTCATTTTATTGGCTTTGTTATGTGGTTCAGATTTAAAGTAACTGTTGTCCCCTGTGGTTTTAATGAGAAAATACTGTATATATTGTCTACAAGACATATGCATAGCTCTCCCCTTAATAATCTTAACTGTCTCTTGTAATACATTTCAAAGCCAAAACTCAACACCAATATATAGGAGAGACTTTCATCTTTACTTATAAAGTGTTTGCTATTAATCCATTCTGAGAGTTGGCTGAGAGCATCTGTCAGTGATAAAGCTCATACTTAACATGTGCGATGTTTTTGGTTCAATCCTTGGCGATGAAAAGAGAGGGAGAGGGAGGAAGATGAGAAAGGAGGAAGAGGGAGAGAAGGAAGAGAAGGAGAGAGAGAGAGAGAGAGAGAGAGAGAGAGAGACTATGTGCACAAACCTCTGTCCACCTGTCTCCTCTATCCACAAAGCAAGGGATTACAAGCACCCGTGGCCACCTGTGGCTGTTTTCACAGATGCTGGGGTTTTGAACTCTGATCCTCATATTCAGGCAGCAAGTGCTCTTACCCCAGCACTAAGAAGGGTTTTTCTGTGCCTCTTTAAAACGCTGTAACTGACTGCCTGGGTCCCTCGGAGAATCTCCCAGGGAAACAATGAGGCTGGATTGCAGAGCCAGGCAAAACTTGAGACATGACTGAGACCTGCTGTGCCCCACCCCCAGGATAGAGGGACTCTCCACCCTCTCCCCTCAGCTGCCCCAGTAACCCTTCTGGTCATAATTCTTTCACTCATTCTGCAGCCAGTGAAATTGTAGTGTTCTGTGTCTGCCCTGTCTGTGTCTCTTTGTGCCCAGCCTCTCTGCCTCAGCTCTACCCACTCCTGTCTATAGCCCTCTTAGCCCCGCACATTGTCATCTCCTGAACGTGTATCTGTGCACTATCCCATCATTTCTCCATCTAGCTAATCCACCCATCCACCCAACTGTCCACCCATCTACCCCAGCATTCTTCATGCAGCCATCCCCCCAACCAGCCAGCCTAGCATCTAGCCAGTGTACTAGCCAACCGTCCTTCTATCCATCTTTCCATCCTTCTTTCAATTCATTCTTCCAGTCACCTTTACATCCATCTATCCATTCTTCCTTTCTTCCATACAACCAGCCATCTCACTATCTAACCATTCAGGCAGCCAGCTAACTCTCTGCCGTCCAATCATTCACTCATGTAACTATGCATCTCCTGACTAACCAGCCAGCCAAACCTACAATCTAGTCAGCTAAAAATCCACCCAAATTACTACCCAACCTCCCATCCACTCTTCTAATCTATCCATCTATTCAACCGTCAAACCGTCAACCATCCATTCATCCATCTACTTATACTTCTAACAACCAAGGAACCATTTGTGTTGCCATCTATCAACCATTTTTGTATCCATCTATCAACCCTACTCCTTTACCCATCAACTATCCATTAATCCATCCATTTAAGTATCTTTCCATACATAAGCTATCTCTTCATTCACTTATCAACCAGCCAAACCAACCATCTAGCCATCTATCATCTATTCAGTCATTCACATATTCTTCTAGTCATTTATCTACCTGTCTATCCATTCATCAGAAAATATACAGGCACAGTCTCCTCCCAATCCAGCAGAGCACAGGATAGCCTGGCAGTTGTGACACATTCTCTTTCTCTCTCTCTCCCTCTCTGTCTCTGTCTCTCTCTCTCTTACTCACTCCCTCTCCCTCTCCCCCCCCCCGTGTGTGTGTGTGTGTGTGTGTGTGTGTGTGTTTGGGTGGGTGTCATGTATCATGTTCTTGTGGGTCTGGAGGCCAGAGGTTGATTTCAGACATATTCCTTGATCTCTCTCTCTCTCTCTCTCTCTCTCTCTCTCTCTCTCTCTACTTTATTCTTTAATTTTTTATTTTATTTATTTTTATATGTAGGAGTATTTGCCTGATTGAATGTCTGTGTACCATGTATGTGCAGTTCCCACAGGTGCCAGAAGAGGGTATTGTATCTCCTGGGGCTGGAGTTACAGTTGTTAGCTTCCATATGGGTTCTGGGAAATGAAGCCAGGTCTTCTAGATGATCAGCCAATGCTCTTAACCACTGTACCATCCTTCTACCTTAGATTTTGACCCGTGGTCTCTCACTGAACCAAGAGCTCACTGTCTCTGCTAGTTTGGCCAATGAGCATGGAGAATCTGCTTGTCTCCACTCCCCTGGTGCTGGGGTAACAGACATGTGCAGGTGCACGTGGCTGTACTGGGCATCCAAGCGCAGCTCGTCACACTTGCATGGCAGGCACTGTACTGACTGAGCCATCTGCCCCAGCCTGACCCCTTATTTGAACCTGAAATACCTAGGTTTATCCCAACTCTGCCTTGTACCTGTTTCGTGGGACTCTGGTGAAGTCAGTATGCCTCTCTTAGTCTGTTCCTGCTCTATAAAATGAGGTATCATAGAGATGTTATGAGGATGGAAGAATAAAAACTGTACAGTGAGCTCATCACTGGCTTAGGCATTGAGACGGTAATCAGTCCTCCAGGATGAGAGCTTAGCCTGTGAGCTGGCATCAGCACTCACCCTGACAGCAAGAGCATATGACAGGTGATGCCCAAATGGGCTCAGTCTATGACACTGGGATTGGTGCCTAATGATAACAGGATGAGGCATGTTGTATGACCAAGACCATGGCTCTGTCTATGAAACAACCAAGATAGAGCTTGTTCATGTGACAGAAAGACAATGAATGACTCGGTGTATGATCCCAGGATGGGGACTCAGCCTATGGCATTTTAAGTCAGTGCTAAACTTGACAACAGTATGAGACCTACCATATGATGACAAGATCATGGCTTAGTCTTTGACACCAGAGTGGGACTTAATTTGTGTGATGGGCAGTGTTAGCTGTCAACCTTACAGAATCTGTATCACCTGGGAGATGGGTATCTGGGCAAACTTATGAGGTTGGGTTAATTGATGTAGGAAGACATAGCCAAAGAGCAGGCGATACCATTGCCTGGACTTAGAGGACTATACTGTATACCTGTAGAACATGAGCTAAACAGCAGCATCCACTGCTCTCTGCTTCTAGCTTTGCTGCCTTGGCTGAAGCTTGAAGAGTGAGCTAGCGTGAACCCTTCTCCCTTAGGTTGCTTTGTCAGGGTGTTTTATCACAGCATAGGAAAATATCTGTGATACCAGGGTCAGGGCTCAATTCATGAAAGCAGGGTGAGGTACATCCATGACACCAAGATCATGGTTCAGCATGTCAAAGTGGGATGAGAGATTAGCATAAGATATCAAGATGAGACTCCATCTATGATACCAGTACTAGGGGTCAACCTATGACAGGAGGGCAAGGTTCAGAATGTGACAGCAGGATGAGAGCTCAGTCTATGACACTGGAATTAGTACCCAACCTGACACCATCTGTCCAGAGCGGACTTTTTGCCAGAGCCAATTTCATCATGAATCCACTCAGGCTCTTACGGACAAATAATTCAGTAGGAAAAAGCTTCATCTGTGGTTGACTAGAAATGTCTGCCAAAGTTTAGGGAAGAGGTGGTATGTTGGCTTCAAGGTCATTTAAGAACTTTTCCTCCTCGGCTCTTTCTTACCATCTCCATTTGCCTTAGTCACTTGTCTCACTGCTGTGAGAAAACGCCTTACAATAGCACCTTTGAAAAGAAAGGGTTTACTGTGGCTCACAGCTCCAGGGTGCAGTCCACCACGATGGAGAAGGCACAATGGCAGGAGTGTGAGGCGGCTGGTCACATCGCAACTGCAGTCAGAGCAACTGCAGAGAGCAATGAATACCAGCTCTGGGCTCACTTTCTCATTTTTTGTTACCCAGGGCACAGCCTATAGGATGGTGCCACCCAGAGTGGGCAAGTTTTCCTGTCTCAGTGAGCCCAATTAAGGTCATCACTCACAGCAAGCCTAGAAGCTTGTCTTCTTGGTAGTTTTAGATCCTGTCGAGTTGACAATATCAGCCACCACATGGCTGTCAGGGCAAGTGGTGATGGGTACAGAATCCAAGCTTCCTCTGTCCACCTGACTTAGTCCTGATCCTGTTATCCCCCTTTCTCTACAGGCTCTGAGCCCAAGCCATGTGCACAGCCCTTGGACTCTGGAGACGCAGCCTCAGCCTCCAAGGGTAGCCGTGGACTCTGGAAACCTGAGAATCCAGACTTCTTCTCACCCATGGAGGATGACCAGGCAGGTATTGGGTGACTGAGATGGGTAGCAGCTGATGACCATGGTGGCAGCAAGTATACTTCACTTAGTGCCATGTTTGACTGGGCACTTGTGGGGCATTATGTTACAGAGCCCACCTGGGCTTGACAGTGGTCCTCATGACGAGTCCCAGCATGCTACTTAAAAAAATAGCACTGGGGTAGAGGTGAAGTATATATCAGGGTAATCCTAAGAGGGAAGAGACCAAGGAGTGGTCATGAATATAATTCCACTCCAGCTCTGCAGGGACAGACAAATAACAACCATTGATTCCCCCGGGGAGTTGATCCTAAGGATGTTCATCTAATGTATTAGTTCATTTTCCATTAATATAACAGAATACCTGAGTACAGCATGTATTTGTATATAATATATATTAGTTCATTTTCCATTTATATTACAGATTACCTGAGTCCAGTATATATATTTATATAGTATATATATTAGTCCATTTTCCATTAATATAACAGAATACCTGAGTCCAGTTACACTACAAAGGGAAGGACCCGGGTTTTTTGTTTTGGGGTTTATTATTATTATTATTATTATTATTATTATTATTAGTTCAAATTAGGAACAAGCTTGCTTCACATGTCAATCCCTTCTCCCGCTCCCTCTCCCTCCCCTCCCCCAGCACCCAGGTTTTTTAATGCACATTTCCTCTGTGCATATGTGTGTGCATGTGAATGTGTGTGCATGTGTATGTGTGTGCATGTGTATGTGTGTGCACGTGCTTGTGTGTGCATGTGTATGTGTGTGCACGTGCTTGTGTGTGCATGTGTATGTGTGTGCACGTGCTTGTGTGTGCATGTGCTTGTGTGTGCATGTGTATGTGTATGCATGCAAACCGAGGACAACCTCAGCTATCAGTACTTAGCTGTCATCTATGTTGTTTTCTGAGCCAGCATCTCTCACTCTCCCAGAACTCACCAGCTAGTGTAGGGAGCAGAAAAGTTGGGATGGACATTCTGGGCTCTTGGGTGGAGAAACCAGAGCACCTACCCTCCAGTCTCAGCATGTTTGTTATATTGGGTTGAACAGAGATGTGGTTACTGTATACAGCCGGACAGGGGGCAGGGTTGTTACACAGACACCCAAGGAGGCGGGATTTGTGGTACACAGTTGACCAGGGAGACAGACTTAGCTAATCTCAACGGAGCAGTCCTGTCAGGGGAGCAGTCTTAAGGCTGTAAACATCCAGGGGAGAAAGCTGTGGTGGCCATTTCTGTACATGCTGTTAACAAGCTATGGTGACCATGTCCTGTACATCCTGTTAACAAGCTATGGTGGCCATTTCTGTACATGCTGTTAATATTCCCACTTGATCCTCCAAGGAAGATCTTGCCATCCCTCTGAAACTGAAATGATGACGGCCTTGACATGGTGGTATCTTTGTCAACAGCACACACTGACTCACACAGGGCTTTCTCGGCCCCCTCCACTGCACGGTGAGAGGATGCCAACTTAGGTGGGTAGGCAAGGGAGGTGGATCTGGAAGGAGTTGGGGAAGAGAAAAATATGATTATTGTGAGAATTTCCAAATAACTGATAAATATTGCAAAAAATAAATAAAACAAAATAGGCCCCAGTAAAAACCAAAAAATATGAGTTCATGTGGCTTAGTGGTGAGGTCTTTTATTAGCTTTCCATTACTATGATGAGATACCTGACATAGACTTATAAACAGAAAATATTTATTTTGGCTAATGGTTCTAGAGGTTTCAGCCCAAGATTCAGCAGCCCCATGGCTAGAAGTGAGAGCAAACCACTAGTCTCATGGATGAGACAAAAGCAGAAGGAGACACTGAGGGGAAGCCACACAATCCCTTCCTAGAGAGTCCCCACAATGACCTCAAGGTAATCCCTGCTACAAAAAGTTCACCACAAAACAGCGCCACCTTGAGGATCAAGCTGTTAGCACACAGACCTCGGCTGGAGAATACTCTTATTTAGACTACAGCAAGTTGTAAGGTCAATCATATCAGGACCTGTGTGGAAAGGAAAGATTGCATCTCAAAACAGGAAGTGAGACAGGCTGGGGTGTGTTGCCATCTGTAAAGTACCTACCTTGTAAGCATGAGGACCTGAATCCGGGTCCCAAAACCCACATTAAGTGAATAAATAAAAAAGTGTATGAGCTAGAGAGAGGGTTCGGAGGGTAAAGGCACTTTCTGCCAGGACCCGAGTGGTAGAGAACTGACTCCTGCAAGTTGTCGTCTGGCCTCTACACAGGTACCATGGCAAACTTCACACACACACACACACACACACACACACACACACACACACAAACTAATTTATGTATGGCTCAGCAGGTAAAGGCTTTTACCCCCAACCTAATGACCAGGGTTCAATCCCCAGAATCTATGAAGTAGAGAGAATTGACTCCCACAAGTTGCCCTCTGACCTTCACAATGCACCATGGCATTTCAAGGGAAGTGCCGAGACTCTCCCAACAATGGAGCTTTAGGGAGGTGGAGACAGGTGGACCCCATGTCTCCCTGGCCAGCCCAGGCTACTTGTTGAGCTCTGGCCAATGAGAGACTCAGAATTAATGAAGTGAAGCTCCCAAGTTGTCCCCTGGCTTGCACACACACACACACACACACACACACACACACACACACACACCCACACACACACAATTGGAGCCAGAGAGCCTGGGGTTCCTTCCTAAGGAACATTCCCAATTATCTCAATGACCTCCCAATAAGGCCACACTTTTTTTTCTTGCGGCAGGATCTCACTGTGTATCCTTGACTAGCTTGGCTCTCACTATGTAGGCAAGGCTGTAACTCACAAAGATCTGCCTGGCTCTGCCTCCCTAGTGCTTGGCACAGGCTCCACTTCTTAAAGGCTCAACTGAATAGTGCCATCCTGGGAACCAAGTTTCTAATATATGATCCCTGTGGACATGAACCACGTCCAAGTCACAGCAGATCACCACCTAAGCTGTCAATGTATATGGATCATTCCAGAAGGATACAATTCAGGAATAGGACCCATAGCTGGCAGTCCCCCAGCCTCGGACACCTGGGCACCTGTCTTAGAGTCATTTCCTCTTGCTGTGACAAAGTACACTGACAAACACCAAGAGGCAGAGAGGGTTTAATTTAGCTCACAGTTCAAGAGCACATTCCATCATGGCAGGGCTGTCAAAGCAGCAAGAGCTTGAGGCAGTTGCCCTCAGAAAAGTCAAACAATAGGCTAGTGCTCAGCCTCTCTCTACCTGTAGAGTCCAGCATCTGGGAAGACTCCCATCCGCAGTTAAGATAGGTCTTCCCAGCTCAAGTAACCCAACTAAAACAATCCATCTATATCACACCCCCTCTCTCTGAGACTCAGGGACACCTCAGAAGGGGGTGGAGAAATAATTATTGTAAGAGCCATAAGTAATGGATATCTTCAACAAAATAATGCCTGACATGACAGGGTTGTTGCACACATGAACTCACAGTGGTACAAAGACCCACATAAGACGAAGCCAGCCAAAATCCTAGCACGGACTATGGAGGGCTCAGGAAGCCCCACACAGCTAGCTGGGAGACTGTTAGCAACTGATGGCTGCTGGAGGAAGGAGAGCCAGTTTTCTTCAGTGATGTACCCTAGAGGCTGCCCATGGTCTGGTAGATGGTCACATACCCATGAATACACTGGCCACAGTAGTAAGTGGACTCAGGCGGGGGTGGGGGCACATTAAATTAGGAGAGAAAAGTAGTGGTGGGAATAGGGGAGGAATTGGAGGGAAAGGATTGGGGCATGGACTTAATCATAACATATTGTATACATGTATGAAATTCTTAAACAATAAAAAAATTAACTTTTAAAAATTACAATCCCTTACCGGCATGTTCAGAGGCCCACCTCCCAGATGTTTCTGTAATGGTCAGGTTGACTGTTAATACTATTTACCACAGTGGCGTTTGCCTATGTCTAGTCAACTAAGGAGGGCTAGCTGTCATTGTCAACCTAGAGTCACCACGGAAGAGAGTCTAAGTAGAGACTGTACTGGATTGGCCAGTGGGTGTGGCTATGGAGGAATTGCTTCTCAATTGAGTTAACTGATGGGGCTGGAGAGATGGCTGAATTCAGATCCCAGCACTCACATCCTACAGCTCCCAGCTGACCATAACAACAGCTACGGGGGATCTGATCTAATGCCCTCTTCCGGCTTCCACAGGTACCCACCTACCCATAACACACACACACACACACACACACACACACACACACACTCCTAGCACTCAGGAGGCAGAGACAAGTGCCAGCCTGAAACTAACTACAGAACTAGTTCTAGGACAGTCAGGGCTACACATAAAATCCTGTCTGAAAAAAACAAAGTTAACTGGTGTGAGAAGACACAGTCCACTAAAGGTGGCATCATTCCCATGAGGCTGTATAAGAGTAAAGAAATGGTGCTAGCAGCAAGCAAGCAAACATTCATTCATTCATTCTTCTCTGCTCTCAGCTGTGGAAGTGATGTCACTGTGACTCTGTGCCTGTGATGGACTACGACCTGCATGGCTATATATTGTTTATGATCTAATAAAGCCACTGGGGATCAAAATGCAAAACTAGCCACAGCCACAGAACCAGGCAGTGGTGGCGCACACCTTTAATCCCAGGACTCGGGTCACAGGCAGATGGAACTCTGTTAGTTCAAGGCCACACTGAGCTACATGAAATTGATCCAGTCTAAAAGAGAAACAGAGCATGCAAAGGTGATTTCAGCACTTAGTATCACATGCCTTTAATCCCAGCACTAGGGATATGGAGACAGGAGTGATATGACTGGACAGAGAGAGGACTATAAGGCAGTAGGAGACAGGAATTGAAAGGACTGCAGTCTGAGGCTTGATGGAGAGCAATGCAGTCAGGATTGCACTCTGAGGATTTGTGGAGACAGGAGACCCATTTTGGTCTGATGTAGAGGTAAGAGCTAGTGGCCAGCTGCTTTGCTTTTTCTGATCTTCAGCTTGAGC